ATGTCAAAGTTTCATTCAAAAGCTGTAACAATCTAGGAGCATTAAGAGAAACTGTGTGTGGTATGCTACGGTTAAAAAAGCGGCAAGAATCACCCAGCCAAGGTTAGAAACTTCCGGCTGCAGGTGCTGTTTCAGGGATGAACTTCAAAAATGTTTTCAAGATGCTGTGTTTGTCTTGTACATCTATGGCACACTTTGCTGTACAGCAGATTTAGTAATCATAATTATACGCTCCATGATAACTCCTATCCTCTGATGCATCTATGTGTCTACATTAACCCTTACGCTTTCCATAGTTGTCGGTGGAAAACAGATTCTAAATAGTAGTTAGGGACGGAAATTGTACCTATTTGTTTCAGTTGCTGTGGGCAGCAAAGTGTCTTTCAGTGGGTAAAGTATGTTAGATCTAGGAGGAGCTCAGTTTTTTCAAACATCCTGATTTTTCTCCCTCAGATCATTGCTGAAAAGATCAGATACGCTGTTCTTTCTAACCACCAGTCTTGTGCTTAGTGAAGGTTAGCACCTTAGGCAGCCGTATGGAGCCATTGCTAACGAAGGCAAACACGGTCATTCTGCTGCCAGCCCATTGTGTCCATTCCAAGGCAGCTTCAACTCCAGTCGTCCATGAATGTCCATACAGCCTTTAATGGGCGCATCTGATTATAGTTTGTTAGATTGAACGCATGCTGCAGGGATCATCTGCAGATCCTTGCTTGATAGTTTGCACACAGAACATGTTGGAATAGTGTGGCAGAAGTTGGCTAAAGTTAGTTTTGCACTTTTTTGGCACACAAGAGCTAATGGTATTTTTCAGTATCAGTTTTTAATGCTCATTAGAACATAAAGATGGCGTTTCGGTTTCTGGCAAACTGGCTGTGCCTCCCATTCTTTTCCAGCTTCAGAAAAAGTTTAATAATGTAAATGTTAGGACTACAGCTTTCCATTCCCTACAAAAGCACCAACAAGTGGAACGCCATGCCAAGAAAGCGCGCAGGCTCCTGAGAGAGCGTGCTGGTGTATTAGTGTCAGAGAGCCTGGTGCTGGTCTTGCACAGCACAGGTATTGTGTGTGTTTTCAGCAGTCATTAAATAACAACAGCAAAAAAGCTTAGTCAAGAACCTGAGCCTTGTAGCTGCTGCACAAGTGTTGGATTTGTTCCCACCATCAGATCTCTTAAGTTGCAGAGGTGCTGTTGGAATGAGCGCTGGAACCTCTGGTGCCTCTGCATGGAGGAGGTGCTATACAAGTCTTCTGTAGAAGTCAAACATTACATCAGTTCTACAAGTTTCTTCACTTGGAAGAAAACACCCAGCTTCCGCTTTGTTTCTTTTTCCTAATGATCCAGTTGACATTGCCAAGGGATAGGGACTACTTGGCCTGTGTCAGCACTTCTCTAGTGCTGAAGAAAGCCGAGATTTGCACAATTAACATGTTCAAGTTCCTGTGTGATTTGAGTTACAATTTTTCCTTTCCCAAATGCAACCACTTTCTTTTTTTACTGATGTCTGAAAATATTAAGTTTCTGTTCAGAGGGTCTTATACACAAATTTTGTGAGGGAAAGGCATTCCTAACTTAGTTATTTGAAAAATCAGCATGTGCTTGCTGTCCTTTTGGTAAACTGTTAACATCTGCCAAGGATGGCTGACCCACTGACAGATTGGCTAGCTCTGTCTGATCAGTACAAACTGAATTAAATCAGCTATTCTTTAGCAAGGCTCCCTTGTGCACAGAAGACAAAGTAGTCCACTTATATACAAAGCACTGATGGAATTATGCCATAGAGGAATCCAGCCACAGCATGTAAACCCCTTCTCTAGGTACCTGTGCTGATCCTTGCCTAATACCTACCACAACAGTGTAAGAAATCCAAAAATGCTTTTAAAGTTTCCAGCATCACAATCTGTGGAAAGCTTTGTGGTCGGCATTGGAGGTGGCGACATCATCGAAGGTTATGAAGCTCTTGAAGATTGACACAAGAGGAAGAAGAATAACGAAGTTGATGAGAGAAAATAGAATCTGGAGGAGAATAACAGGATGCTCAGCAAAAGCTTAAGAGGAGGGTTGATGATTATGCGGATTTTAGACATTGTCTGTTAACCTACTAATAGAATGTAACTGTATTGCGCGTGGCATTCAGCAGTGACTAATCAAATGATGACTTAAATGCGTGAATAGACAACACCACTATATAACCTGCGGTTTCGCTTAATAAAGGATCTTCTGATCAACATTCAGGAGTCCGTGTAATTAATCTCCTCAAATGGTGACCCCGACGTGATACATTCCGGGACTTTGAAAGGCTGACAGACGGAACTGGGTAATAAAGGCGACAGCTCGTGGAAGGGGGCTGCACTCCGGAGGAGACGTCTTGGCTGAACGATCATCCCGCCGGCTGGACCAGGCGGACAGGAGAGACCCCAGGGCCAGGGTGACAATGCCTGTAGGCAACGAGACAGGTGAGCTGCCAAGAAACTGTGAGAATGGGTTCTAATATGTCTGCAGAAGAGAAGAGACTATTAAGGATGTTCCAACATATTCTACGAAAAAGAGGAATAGTGTATGAGAAAAATAGCCTTGGACTACTGCTAGCCTGGCTGAAAAGCCAGGGCATTCCCGCAACCCCAACGCAAATTTTTGATGTTAAGATATGGGAGTCAGCAGGGCAGCAGATTTGGGATAAGGCATCTCGAGAGGATTTAAATGCTAGTCAAATTATGTCTACGTGGAGGCTAGTATGTGAAACGTTGAAGGAAATGCGCACAGAAAGACAGCTTGCAGGTGCAACTCGAACGGGTTGGACAGATACAGAGCAAGAGCCCGGAGG